CCTTCATTTCCCAAACTTTTACCAAAATGGTAGTAAAATTTTTTTAACTTCATCAACCAATTTCCAATTGCTAAAAAAGTAAAAATATTTTAAATAAAACCATCAGATCACCCTAGTTCACAGAGTTTGACTAAGGATATAGGAGAATGTTTTATCTTTACTTCAAGTTGATAATGAACAAATAAAATACAATTTTTTGACCCTGCTTTGCTTTATAATTAATCAGGAATAAATTAACCCTTCCTGTCAGAGTCATGTGGAAACCTGAATGCCCTGAGATTACCTCTGTGTAAATTAACATACAGAGCTGGTCTTGTGGGGTTTGCTAAAATGGGGTTAATTGGCAGGACGCACTCTGAAACTGTTTGACCTTCTCTTGGGGCTGTGCTTTTGTAATTCTTGTGGCCACATCACAGCACTGTGGTCATTTCCAATAAAGCCAATACCAGTTCAGTACTATCCTACTCTTCCTAGAGAAAATTCGGGAATTAAAGCACAGAGGTTACATTTTTTTCCCATTCTAAAATGAGTAAGAGGTAGAAGTGATTTAAACCCAGGAGTGGTGACTTGATCCCAGATATGTCTAATACTGAAGTGTCTGCTCTTCACCTAAAATTATATGACCCACTAGAGGGAGAACGAAAGAGAGAAGCAGAGTAGCTTAGCTGAGGTTCCAGAGTGTCAGGGAAGCTCGTGTCCTGTGACTGTAGGGGCGACTCTCTGGCATCTGACTATTCAGGGTTTTTGTCGGGTTTAAGTGTTCTCATCTCCATGTTAAGAACTGTACATCTAATCCCAGAGATAAATTAGGGCACAAGACAGAAAAATCAGGCAGAGCTAATAAGAAGTCATGTACTTACAGCCTGAATCAGCATGGAGGTGCTGGACCCTTGCAAGTAATTATTCAGGTGCCAAGGGCTTAGTCGGGCACATCAGTTCCTGAGTGTGATGAGGATACAGAAGCAAATAAATGGTTGCCATCTCTGGTTCTCTAACAAACTCTACAAGAACAGGCCATTCTCAACGCAGTAAATTCTGTACACACCCCAGTCGATGAAGCCCACCACCCCATCTGTGGTCCTGGGGACCTCTCAGACACATTTCAGACCCACATTCACTGTGCCAATGAGGCTCCCCTTTCCTTAGGCTTGAGTTTTTTTCAGTCCTGTACAAAATTTATCTCTTACTCTTTTCCTCATATAGAACGTATTGGTTATTAAATATATTAATGGTATCATTTTTAAATGTAATAATTATAGAAGATTTTATGCAACATGTTTAACAGTAGGAAACATTCACCTCACGTGTCCTCTTAAGCACTGACATGTATCATGCATACCTTGGGGATTTATCTTTGGGATTTTAATTCAAGTACAATAGTTGTGTGCAAACAAGGACAATGATTTAGGGCAGTGACAATCACCAAATAATTCTGCATAGAATGTTATAATAATTCTCATTAGAACTACATCCAAGAATGAGAGTTCTGTCAATTAACCAAATATACTAATTTCTCTACAGATAGATGCTTGATTTTAAGAGCAAATCTTACAGACATGGGGAAAGCACCACTTTACAAGCACTTAGAGTAGAAGGACATAGCTGACACAGACAATAGGAAAGTAGAGACTAAGATTCAGATTTTTAGCAACAGAAAATATTTCGATCTTACAGAATAGATGAGAGAAAACTCACAATATTTTTCAGTTAGGGAAGTAATCTGCTATATAATTAAACACATGTACATATGCATGTTTACACATCCGTATAAATATTTTATTTTTGCTGTGTGTATTAATTTTATATACTGCTTTATTATTTGACCTGTTTGCACAAGTACATCAGTTTGCAATAATTCATTTCCAAGGTTTCCCAAGTACATGAAAATAAAAACTTCCATTTGGATTATATTGCAACCTGAGGGACCGTTCGACACATATGGTTTCTTTATATTCTCTCCTAAGAACACACTTGAACTCTCAAAGGTACACAAGAACCTGTTTGAACTCCATATTGACAATGGTAGAAATTTAAGTTGCCCATTATAATTCAAACTACACTAAAACTGCAACAGTGGGAATAAAGACACAGAGATTTAATTCTATTATACAGCAAGTTTTAACAGTCATTCGTTTTTGTTTGTTTGTGTTGTTTACAGTTCAGTTTGGATTCTAGTTCTCTGAGCTCTGTAATCTTTCAGGTTCATATCGAGATGGATCTTCCTGGTACAAAGGAAGTATGAAAAAGAAGCTATTTACTCAATGGCACTTGTACTAGCTTCCCAGGGCTACTTAACAAAGCATCACTAATTGGGCAGCTTGAAAGAACAGAATTTATTCTCTCACAGTTCTGGAGGCCAGAAGGCCAAAATCAAGGTGTCAGAAGGTCTGTGCTCTCTCTGTAGGCTTTTGAGAAGTATCCTTCCTTCCCTCTTCCTTGCTTCTGCTGGTGCTGGCAATACTTGACATTTCTTGGTCTGTAGCTACATCCTTCCCATTTCTGCTTCTGTCTTCACCTGGCCTTCTCTCTGTCTTTTCTGTCTCTGTGTATCTCCAAATCTCATTCTCCAGATAACGCCCTATTTGGAGCCCACCCTAATATTGGTGATATGATATGACTTTATCTTAACTTGACCACATCTGCAAAGACCGTATGTCCAAATAAGGTCACATTCATAGGTATCAGAGGTAGGAGTTGAACGTATCCTTTGGAAGACAAAATTCACCCCACAATGGCCCTCAAGTGACAAAATTAAATTAACATACCTCAAAAAAAACTCTTAATTTTTCTTCCTCCCTTCTGGTAGAAATGGAATCATTATGCTTAATTGCAGCCTCTTCCTGATCTCTTTCCCCCATTACAGGGACCTAGTCATTTTCACAGCGTTTGTTGAACTTGATTCCTCATTTCTTGCCTATCAACCTTTGGCTCTAAGCTGTCCAGATTCCGCAGGCAAGAGGTCACCTTATCTGTGTTTCTGGGATACCAAGACCCTTATTTGCTGATTTAGTTTATTTATACATGACCTGCTGACTTGGCTGAACATCCTTCCACAGCTTGATATAAATACCACAAAGAATGTTGCAATACCAGAAATAATATATAGCCTTTAAAACATCACTCAAAATCTGACATTTCTTTGTGAACACTTCATGTAAATAATAGGAAAAAAAAAGAAAAACTAAATGAAAGAGAAAAATGTAATCAAGTAGGTTGACAAGCAGCAAAAGATAATTAAAATGATCCTGTTTTGTTTCTCCATTTCATTAACATGCAAATGAGATTCATGAAGTTTGATACTGTGTTTCACCAGGAACCGTACAAACAAATTAAGAATGAAAATGAGTCCCACTGATGGACTCTGGATGAGTATATACATCAATGAAAAACACGATTTGATCCCATTAATAACATATATATTTTTTGTGATTTATTGAACCTCAATAAATGAAATAAATATAAGTAGTTAAATTAAGTTTTGTATCTCTTTCCATGGGCCAAATCCTATGACAGCTTTTATTACTCAAATGGAGTGATGATAAATGTTACATTCTGCTTTACTTTAAAAAAGTGTACAAGATGGGGACCTCATTCTAAGACCAGCGTTGTGATAACAGCATTCTCACTGCAAGGACCATGAATCCCATGGATCTGGACTGGCCCTCAGTGGGGCTAGGAGAGCTCACTTGCCTGTGGTCAATAAGGGAAATTCAGAATTGAAAATAGTGGAAGACAGTCCAGTGTGACCAATAATTCTTACTACAAGGCAAATAAAAGTAACAGATAAGCATTATCTATGCAAATATATTCAAGGCCCCCCAAATTCCCCATTTGATACAAGGATCTCAGTTACTACTCTCCATTGATACTCTTACACTTAGAAAAACACACAAGTTACGTCAATTATACCTCAATAAAGAAAAGGAAACACACAAAAGTGACTGTCTCAAATAATACGAGATAAAATTTTAAGATAAACAAATTTAAAATCACACTGAAGTGTTAGATATTTATAACATGTACTTGATGGCAAAACACAGATACACACACACACACACACACACCCCCCTAATGTATTTGTTATGTTCAATGTTCAAAGAGCTCAAACATTAAACAGCAGCACCAAGGATAACATAAAGGAGTAAAATTAGAAGAAGTGGCTAACATACGGCACACGAGAAGGGGATAATAAATGAGTGAATCACAGTTTTAACAACACATGATGTCAATGTCTATTTCTTCATAGTTGTTAAAAATGTTTTCCGTGTTAGTATTGCCAAGACTCTTTCCATAGAATATATGCTATGCACAGATGGGTTTTGCCTTAGCATATTATGAAAAGGGACCACAATGATGTTCTGTCTCTAAGTGCACAGAGGCATAGAGTTTTTAAATTCTCTTATTTCTACAGCAAGCTGCCATTGATTTATCTGTGCTTTCCTTTACACATATTCAAGCAATCAAACACAACCTACCTAAGAGACAGTCAACAGTATGAACTGAGTATTCCTACTGGAGCATGAGAGCTTATTAAGTTCCCATCCGCAACAAGAAAGAAAATCATGTCATCCACATTGACAATTAAACTAACTGAGGACTTATTATTTTTAAATAACTAGCATCTTTTAAAATTACTTCTTGTTGCAAACTTCCTTATTTATCTTGAAATAGAGGGCCAATTAAATTTTCATGGTTACTGTATTCATAATTATTGGCTATTGTTGAAAAAAAGGTTATTTTATAAGATACATATAAAACTTGCCAGGTGGAAGGAATTCAATTCCTTGGGTGCTGAAGTGATGATACAGGACTTTCAAATAGGATGCATCCTTTGCCATTCCGGACCAGTTCTACATGTCATGTACATCCCATGAGTTTCTACCATTTGCTTATTTAGAAATTTCCTTCCTTTTACAATATGTCACTTATAATGATTTCCGTAAAAGAAGGGAAAATTGAGATTCATCATGAACCAATCAGAGAGAAAAACGCAGACTTACCATCTCTTCGATTTAGCCTTGCAAATCCAGGACCGTGGCTGCTGGAGAGCTCGGACGAACTGCTGAATGATGCCTGAGACAAGGCCGGCACCAGAGGTTCATCGCAATCATCTGCCAAGAGGGAAAAATCCACATTCAGGTTAGTACAGTGCTGACAGCTTTCTGGGATTCAATCAATAAAGCAAACAACCAAAACAAAAAGTACTAGGATCTCTAACAATATGCTCACTGTTTATATGCAACATTCTACTGGAGGTCTAATAAGTTTGAGAAGAAAAGAAAAAGAACTTAAAGATAAGAGATTATGAAAATGGAGAAGTAAAACCTCATAGAAATTATAAAATAATATAATATCTTCAGGTAGAAAAGTTTTACTTAAACAAGAAATAAAAATACCTAATCAGTATAGCTAATTTATAAATAAATTGATATAAGGAAAGATTTATAAAGATTTTATGGTTGCCAAAAGACACGTAAAATGAACAGAAACATCACAACGTGTAGGAAATACTTGCAAAACAGTATACAATTAGTATTCCAAATTGAGGAAAATAGAATAAAGAAAAACAAAAACTGCCTTTAAATCAGTTAGAAAACACATTTGGAAAAAAACGGCACAAGATCAGAGAGTTCACAGAACAGAACCTAAAGGAATTGATGTTCAAACTCATAAGTAAAAAGAAGTGTAAAGCAAAACTACAATTAGATAATATTTTACAGATCATAAATTGGCAAGATTTCAGAAGTCTGACAACACCAGATTGTCTAGAGAATGGGGGCCAAGAGAAGCTCCAACACACTGCTAGTGGGAGTGTAAACTTAAGCAAATACTTTTACAAAAACAATTTTTCATTAGTTCATATATTTGAATTTTTCATACCCCACATTCCATCAATTCCATTGATATGTATGTCCTCCTGGGCAGAGCATCCCTGTGATGAACCACTGGTCTTAAAAAGTTCTGCCTTCCTACCCAAGGATGCAATACAAATACTAGTATTTTCTGTGTCCCATGAAAAGAAAAAAGTTTGGAAGCACTGATCTAGAGAAATTCTTGCATTTGTGCACCAGGAGACATGCACAATTTATAGCAACATTGCTCATAGTAGCAAAAAATCATTAAGAAGCCAAACATCCAACGACCAAAGAACAGATCAATAAATTGTGGTACTTTTCACAATGGAATAACACACAGCAGTAAAAAGGAACGACACCAACACCCACCCACAACAGAAAAAAGGTTGGATCTACGAAACAAAATTTTTAGTGAAAAAAATCAACTTATAAAAGACCAACTTATCCAAAGACCAAATCAACTTATATAATATAGGTTGATAGTTTTCAAAATCTTAAAAGCAAGCAAAGCTAGGTAATATGTTGTTTGGGGACTTATTGATTTAAAAATACTATTAAAAAAACAAAGAAATGAAAAGCATAAAACTCAGGATAGCGGTTACTTCTGGAGAAAGGCAATGTGTGTATGTGTATGTTTGTGTGTATACACATACATATATGGATATATCAATAGGTATATAAGGATGTATATGAAAATATATACCTATCATCTATCCTTTTATGTGTATCACATATTAAAAAATAATAAGGCACAAAGGAGACCAAAAGTATAAGAACAATGTCATGCTAACCATGATATCCATACATGCTTATTTTATTCAGCTAATTCTTCTTCCATGCAATCTTTAAAGTATTCACCTATTATTTTATAAAATTATTAAGTTGTTACCATTTTTGAGCTATCAGAAAACTATTTCTGAGAGAGGATGGTGTGGGTGGACTGTGAACTCACTTCCTCCCATGGAAACAACAAATTTACAACTACTCTTGGAACAATTACTCCCAAAACAGAACTGAAAACTGTATAAAAAGAATCCCCACAAAAAGGGGCAGTGCTGACTGAGGTGGAAGAGGCAAAAATTCCTTTCTGGAGAGAAAAAAAGCCACCTTCACAAGCCACCTTGCTTCATGGCCAGCTGGGAGCAATCCTAACGTACAAAGCCTTCCTTGGAGGAGTGGGGAACTGAGCAGGGAGCATTACCACTATAAGAAGCCTTAGGACTCAGCACAACTGAGATGAGTGTCACAATATCTGGCTTTTCTGGCTACTAACAACAATGGGGAATATCCCCAGAAAAGCTATTGGACATGACACATGAAATGTGGGAGCAGGGGAGTAAAAGAGTAGAGCTTTTAGCAAGAGGTCAAACTAAAGAGACGATCAATTTAACATAGAGTGTTATATAGGTAGGTTATTATATATGAAGCTCATGGTAATGACAAACCAGAAACCAATAATAAATACACAAAAAATTAACCCAAACATAATATTAAAGAAAGCCATCAAATCACAAGGGAAGAGAGCAAGAGAAGAAGAAAGTAACAGAGAAGAACTACTAAAACACCCAGAAAAAAAGTAACAAAATGGCAATATGTACATACTTATCAATAGCTACTTTAAATGTTGATGAACTAAATGCTCCAATCAGAATGCATAGTGTGGCCAATCAGATTAAAAAACAAGACCCATCTATATGCCGCATACAAGAGACATACTCAGACCTAAAGACACTCACAAACTGAAAGTGAGGGGACAGAAAAAGATACTCTATGCAAATAGCAATGAAAAGAAAGCTGGGGTAGCAATACTTTTATCAAACAAAACAGACTTTAAAACAAAAACTGTAACAAGAGACAAAGAAGGGCACTACTTAATGATAAAAGGAACAATCAAACAAGAGGATATAATGCTTGTAAATATCTATACACCCAACACTGGAGTACCTAAATATATAAAGCAATTATTAACACACATAAAAGGAGAAATAGACAGTAACACAATAATAGTAGGGACTTTAACACTTCACTTACCCCAATGGAGAAACGGTCCAAACAGAAGATCAATAAGGAAACGTTGGCCTTAAATGACACATTAGACCAGATGGACTTAGTAGATATATACAGAACATTCAATCCAAAAACCACAGAATACACATTCTTTTCAAATCCACATGGAACATTCTCCAGGAGAGATCACATATTAGGCCACAAAACAAGTCTCAATGAATTTAAGAAGATTGAAAAAATACTAAGTATCTTTTCTGACTGCAATGACTGACCACAATGAAACAAGAAATCAACTACTGAAAGAAAATCAGAAAATCCACAAATATGTGGAGATTAAACAAAACAGCACTGAACAATTATTGGGTCAATGAAGAAATCAAAGGGGAAATCAAAAAAATACCTGGAGACAAAGGAAAATGAAAATATGACATGCCAAAATTTACGGGATACAGCAAAAGCAGTTAGAGGTAAGTTTATTGGAATATAAGCCTACCTCAATAAACAAGAAAAATCTCAAATAAACAATCTAACAATGCACTGAAAGTAAGTGGAAAAAGAAGAAGAAATAAAGCCCAACATCAGTAGAAGGAAGGAAATAATAAAAATCAGAGCAGAAATAAATGCAATAGAGACTAAAAAAGGGAGGAAAAACTCAATGAAACTAAGAGCTGGTTCTTTGAAAAGATAAACAAAATTGACAAACCTTTAACTAGACTCAGCAAGAAAAAAAGAGAGAAGGTTCAAATAAATAAAATCATAAATAAAGAGGAGAAATTACAATAGACAGCTCAGAAATACGAAAGAATATAAGAGAATACTCCAAAAAGGAATACGCCAACAAACTGGATAATCTAGAAGAAATGGATAAATTCTTAGAAGCATACAAACTTCCAAAACTGAATCAAGAAGAAATAGATAATTTGAATAGACAAATCACCAAGAAGGAGACCAAACAGTAATCAAAACCTCCCAAAAAATAAAAGTCCAGGACCAGATGGCTTCCCTGATGAATTCTACCAAACATTCAAAGAAGACTTAATACCTATCCTTCTCAAACACTTCCGAAAAACTGAAGAGGAGAGGAAGCTTCCTAACTCATTCTACGAAGCAAAAACTACACTGATACCAAAATCAGACAAGGACAACACAAAAAAAAAAAACAAAATTACAGGCCAATATCACTGATGAAGATCAATGCAAAAGTGCCCAACAAAATACTAGCAAATCAATACAACACATTAAAGAGATCATACAACATGATCAAGTGGGATTTATTCCAGGGATGCAGAGAGGGCTCAGTATCCACAAATCAATCAATGTGATACACCACATTAACAAAATGAAGAATAAAAATCACCTGATCATCTCAATAGATGCAGGGAAAGCATCTGATAAGACCCAACATTCATTTATGATAAAAACTCTGAATAAAATGGGTATAGAAGAAAAGTACCTTAAAATAATAAAGGCCAGATATGACAAACCCACAGCTAATATCATTCTCAATGGAGAAAAACTGAAAGCTATCCCTCTAAGAACAGGAACCAGACAAGGATACCCACTTTCACCATTCTTATTTAACATAGTATTGGAAGTCCTAGCCAGAGCACTCAGGCAAGAAAAAGAAATAAAAAGGATCCAAATTGGAAAGGAAGAAGTGAAACTGTCACTATTTGCAGATACATGATTTTATATCTAGAAAACATTAAGGAACCCACCAAAAAACTTTTAGAAATAATAAATGAATACAGTAAAGTTGCAGGGTCAAAATCAATATACAAAAATCAGTTGTGTTTCTACACACTAACAATGAAGTATCAGAAAGAGAAATTAAGAATACAATCCCATTTACAGCATTATTCACAATAGCCAAGACTTGAAAACAACCTAGGTGCCCATCAAGGGACAAATGGATAAAGAAGATGTGGTATACATACACAATGGAATACTACTCAGCCATAAAAACAGATGAAATGTGGCCATTTGTGACAACATGGATAGACCTTGAGGGTATTATGCTAAGCAAAATAAGTCAGAGGAGGAAAATGACATACTGTATGATCTCACTCAAAAATAGAAGGTAAAAGCACAAATAATCACACAGAGACAGAGATTGGATTGGTGATTAGCAGAGGGTAAGTGGGGAATGAGGAGAGTGAAAGGGGTGATTAGGCACATGTGTATGGTGATGGATTGTGATTAGTCTTTGGGTGGTAAATGTGATATAATATTCACAGAAATTGAAATAT